AAAAATAAATATTCAATGCATCACAATTTCTTCATTGTCTTTTCAGAAGATCTATTTCTGAAGTTTGTATTTTTTCACCTTTTTAATAACTAACCATTCTGACTACACCAGATGAAAACTGTAATAAGGACAAGATGTGCACTTGGTCCGATACTCTGCATAAACAGTAATAATCTGACCAGTATTACTTATTTACTGCAAAAGTATAAGCATTTCATTGCACTTGTGCATATGACAAATAAATTGAACTGAACTTAACTGGTTACCAAGCAAAAGTGCAAACTGAGCAAATACTGGTCAAGTTAATCTCTTTCAGTTCAAGGGTAACCTTAAAAGTTCCTAAAGAGATTGTGTTATCAGTCATCCTAAGTGCAGAATTCCAACTGCTATTCCATGTAATTTATTAATTTAAAACCCTCGCAGAAACATTAAACCAATGTGTATAACACATCAAGATGCTGTGTTACTTCTCTATACTTGGCTTTCTATTAGTGATCTTGAAACTCCCAGTGCTACTTCAGTGCAATTTCAAAGCAGGTCAAAACAACACTCCTCAAAACTAAGAATATTTGTTTTTGTTAACTATGTGTAAAAAACTGCAAGGAAACCTGTGACACTCAAGATTCCCAAATGCAAAATGAAGAAAATATTAATATACGACTAGTTTCACAGACTTACCAAAATTTAACATAAATGAATCTTTGTAATTGGTCGACCAGAATGTACTTAAAGAGTGACCTTAGCATTATAGGAACAGTAAATAACAATGCTACTGTAGATAACACAAAGTATCAAATTGAACTGTATTAAATAGCAATACGCAATGCTCCACAACAACTGACGTGAAAGCTAGAAAAAGATCAAATGTGAGTTTTTAAAATAAAGACTAACTTTATAAAATTCTAGAAGGACACTTCCTGAAATAGTTGAAAAAGACACCACACATTTATCTGAAGCTAGCAGTACTTATCTCCTGCCAAGTAGGTAGTGCAGCACAAGGTGATAGCTTATGTAGAAGGACTTCAAGAGTCCACAATGGCAATAGAAACTGACCAGATCCATTTTCATAATGGATATGACAGAAATAGAGAGCTATTTCTAGACACAAGGTACACCCTTGCCATTCCAAATACATTCACAGTTCCATGTTCTCATCAGTTTAAAAGATCATATGTATATTTAATATGCTTTTCTAGGTAATGAAGGTAGTCTTCATGGAGATCGTCAGCTCATTTTTTATTTCCAGGATTCTCCGTTTTGGAGAATTTACCATACCCCTCGATCCCTAAGCCACGCCTGTAATGAGTGTCCCAATTTTGTTATATAAAAAACCTATTAAAGTAGCAAAAGAGCTTAGCAAATAACCTTATAATCCATCCAGTATACAAAGAATAAATGTATTCTAAAGTTTATAAATACTGAACAGGATATATTACAATACTTATAAAAACCAAGGGCACATTTATTTCCAAGTTTAATGGAATTTCTATAAAGTTATTGCTGTAATACAGGGATAGCCAAACCTGGTACTGGAGAGCTGGAACTGAACAGTTGTTTAGTTCAGTTTCTAGCAGGTAAATTGTTTAAAGACGTTCATTTACAGTAGAAATTGGAAATGAAACACTTGCAAAAACAATACCCTTCCTGTCTCGAGTCATCCCCTTCAGATTTCGGTAAACTGCACTGTGATTCTCCCAAGACCAGGTTTGGAATAAACTGTTAAAATCTATTTCAGAAAAAATGTCTCTTTTGTATTTTCATTTTCCAAGCTTGTATATACCATACATTCATTTATAATTCTGTGTAACAATATCCAAACATGTACAGCAGGCTACAGCTGTGAATACTTTTAACAAGGCAACTGTGGATGGAGTCTTCTGGGGGTAACTACTAAGAAATATTACAATATATATATAAATATATTCAGTACGATTTTCACTCCTGCAGACACAGTAAGGTAAAAATGTTATACATTTATTGCTCCATGGTAGAGAGAGGTAATGTTCAGACCAAAGAGGTGTACTTTAGTCCCTGAATACAATTCCTAACACTTACAAATCCAGAGTATGAGGACTCATGTAGAACAACTCCCCTCACACAAACACTTCTGTTTTAAATTGGTTCCTAGAGTGTGCCGCAGGCAATAAGCACAACCGGACAGTACTAAACCTGAGGTCAAGTAACGTATGAATGGGTAATGATGACTGGAGTCTCTAGGACCTGTGTTCATGTAACTTACATGCATGACTGGGGTTGTTCAAAGTGGTTTTTCTCCAGACAAAATCTGTTATCGGATTTTTACAAGATAATCATAAAGGTTTAAACATGCATTTATAACAAGACACAACGCAGGTGTGACAAAGAAATTACTGCGACTACAGACATTCAGTGTTCCAGTGTCTTCCAACAAGGTACAGAAATGAAAACGTAAACCCTTGAAAACAACCGCTTTTAAAAACCAAACGTGGGGGTTATTGCTCAGCTTCAATATAGGAATGCGTGATATCTAAGCAAAAAGTCTCAATAGCAAAAATGACAAAAGAAAGGATTTCTGAGTTCTGAGCTGAACTGTAAATTTCCTGTACTGGTTGTTTGCCAGTGAATATGAACGTAACGGCAAGAAAAAAAAAGACAAGATATTTACTTTTTTGGTTTTGTGTTCTCTGCAATTGTTCGGGAACATGTGTCCGAATAAACACTTTCATGACTGCCCATATCGCAGAAGCCGTAGCATTTTTTTTTGTATTATTGCACAGCTTCACCTGAAGAAGCATTTTCTCAATTTTGTTATCAAAAATACAATCTAAATAGGTGACGTGCTTGTAGATGCTGTTCCCCGAATACCATAGACACCTTAAAAAATGACTAAGAGAGAATTTTGCGCCACACTGGACATGACTTTTTTTTCTACAACGGCACCTGAATATCAGCTATTAAAACCTGTCTACACAGTCAGCATACCCTGTTTGAAAACCTAAACAAAACACGAAAACATTGTAGACCTAAGGATTAATGAGCACTCCGGTTCCTGGTGAACAAACAAAGACGCATCCAATAAAAGTAACAGCAGACTTGCTGCAAGAGTGAATTCATTAATGCACCGAGCAAGACGTTTAAGCTTTTTGTCATTGGTTACCTATCTTTGGTAGTTTTAGAAACTTTGAGAACTTTATAAATATTATTCTGAAAGACCGTGATGAAGTGAGGTCTGGAATCCCTTCCTAGTAAAGTGCAGAGGGGTATCTTGCCGGCATTCCTGGGATCCTCCACATCCCAAATTTCCGGCATGCTGCAGCCCGGCCTACAAAACAGAGATGCATTTACAGCAGGTCTGAATAAAACAAAATCTGTCAAGTGTACTTAATGTACAGTAAATACAAAGTACAACTTTCAACACTGCAAGCACTATAAACCTTCTTCTGCTCTGTGCTGGTGTATCTGCTCAAGTTGCCTTTTCACTGGGATAGTGAAGAAGAAAACAAACTGAATTCGGATTCAGAACAGACTTCGGACACGCATCGTAAATCCGGCACATGGAAATCCTGCTCTGCACCGATTTATTTTACAGCCGTAACTGTGATAAATACTCAGATGTGAAATCATGCAGGGAAAAAAAAAAGAAGTAAAATCAGCCAGCGAAGCTATCCATGCCTTATGGTTTGTAACCTTATGCTTTAAATGAAGATTTGCGGTAATGAAGGGCGCACGTTCAATTTTGATACATCAATACCATTTGAGCATACCTGAAC